ACCAGCCAGTCGATCTGCATGCTTCCCAACACACCGGAATAACCTGGAGAAAATATCCAGCTACCCGGGAATGATGCTTGCCTCTCTGCACAGAGCATAAACCACCTCCACCTGTCTCAACATTATTTGCAAGTAAGTTACAACTATGACATGTGTACACAGCTGGCTCTCAATTCTCTATTCTTTCCATTGTCAAACTGCATTATTATATGCCAGGTTATTTCAACTAAGCGACACCCATTCGCTTTTGCTATGAACATCCACACATTTCACCTGTCTCTCAAAAGAGTGCCATCTCTCCATCACCTAGGTCAGAAGTGTCATAAATCATTTGTTGAAGTTCTGATTCTGCAGCACCTGTTGGCTAGTCCCTGTACACATGGCCCAGTATGAGCAGAGCTCTAAACAAGTCTGACTGTTGCTCAGACGCTCTGATCCACTTTTTTACCCCTCACTTATTTTGGGGTCACTTTTTTTAAAATGCAAAGCTTTGGGAGACTACGAAGCGAAATCAAAGGGTGAAGAAAAGATGTTGGTGTCGGAAAGGGCACAGAAAGGCATGGTACCAGAAAAGAGAGGCAGGGGCTAACCAGCACAAAGATGGGCACAGGATATAAGAGACACCCTGCATAGGAAACTGCACAAGGCAAGAAAGCTGGCAAGAGACTGAGTTTCTTTCAGGTAAGCAGTAATGACAGTGACATTCTGCAAAGGACCTGCTACAGGATGATGAATATTTTAACAGCCTCAAAGTTCTCTAGCAATCTATTTTCGTGCACTAAACATAGCTAACAGATCTTCAAAACTGTCAGTCCCAAGACTGGATGAGAAAGGAGGAGGGTTGGGCATGGGACCAGCGCCCTGACTCCATAAAAATATGCTACAGGAAAACAGACTGCCCCCACTGGAAGACAATCCCTTTATACAGGAACACCCTGAGGTGACAGCAACAACATAGCTCAAAGACTACTGCAGTTTTGACACCTGTTATACTGGTGAGTTAAACACAGATAATAAAGACAGTCAGCGAATATGGAAAGCATTAGCAATAAAGCAAAGCAACATGACATATTTCCTTGTTAGTACTTACTGAGGCTAACAAGACAGGGGTGGCGGTCACACATAATGGATTAACTGTCGTCACACTTACCATTTCAATTTGTGAATAAATTTCAGTTTCATTGATCAAACAAAAGATTAATACATGAAGACATAAGTTAACTTTAACCCACACAGAATTTTATTTTTCTTTCTAAACATAAAAAAGGCAGCCATTGTTGTTTTGCCATTAATGTTTTGGTCAATTACATAAGAGAAGAGAAAATTTTGTAACATCTAGAAAGATTTATGGAAAAAATGACAGGAAAGTAGAACCCTGATATGGCAGTGATACACCAAATGACACAGACTTATACTTTAGTGACCAATAGGCACAAAGTGGATGATGTGGTGGGCATAATGACAGCTGGCTTTACTTCTCATGCATTATCTGGCAGATATTTTAGGCTGGGTTGAGCTGAGAGTCAGCTGCTGTAGCTGCCAAAGAAAGACAGTAAAAGTAGATTCTCTACAAACTATCACTGTGGTACGGATATATGTCAGCAGACAAATTAAAATAATCTGCTGCAGATGGGTGATTCGTCCTTTAGAAAGAAAATAGGGGCTTTTGAGCTGAAATGCTATAGAAGGATTCTCAGAATAAAACGGTCAAAGAAGAAAAGACATATTTACATTTTAAAAGATCTGAACACCAAGGAAGACTGACTAATAAACAGCATCTTGTCTTGGAAGCTGAAATATTTGGGTCATATCAAGCACAATAGCAGACAGGAAAAAGTAATAGCAGAAGGCAAGGTACCAGGAAAGAGGGGCAGGGGTTGACCAACAGAAGATGGGCACAGAATATAAGTGACTATTTTAATATGAAAGTACGCACAGCGGGAGAGCTGGCGAGAGACCGAGTCAGACTGTGATGAGAGTGAGGTTCTGCAAAAGGACCTGCTAAATGGTGATGACGAGATGAGTTGTGGAGAAGGCTGTTTAAACATGCCAGTTGAGAAGAGATCTAATTACACATTTCTTGATAATACTGTTGGAAAAGGTGACTTTTTTATCCATACATATAATCTTAAACACATGAAACAGCTTGGCTTGGAGAAAGTTAGTCTGATATTATTATATACAGATCATTAACATGTTCATTAATGTTTCAAGAAATTACTTCAGTATATCATGCAACAGTTTTCAGAAGACTACCAGTAATTGCATGAACGGACTCTCAAATCTGGTTTCATTAGATGAGAGTAACAGATCTTGTTTCAATCTATAAAGCTAATTACTACAACCACACAAATGTCAATGGACACCGTTACTGACTGGCAATTACACTATAACATTTACACTGCCCAGAGAGATACTGTTACTTTACTAACATAACAAACTGTTTCAGCTGAAACATTCTGAGAGAGGAAAACCAATAAAATCTATAACTGTCAATGTTCCTTTAAAAAAAAATAATAAATAAGAATGAGGGAAAAGATGACAATGAAGATCAGGAAAAGATTATAATGATCTAGTTAATTCTTTTCAATGCCAAACAGTTCTGCGGAAGTTGCCCAATAAGGAAAATTGTCAGTTTGGAGGAAAAAAAAAGACTCAAAATAATTGATTTTAAAGAAAAATTAATGTAAGAGGAAAAATTTTCAAAGGGATAAAACTCCAGCGAAATTTTACTTGTAGTGATTGCCACAATAAATAAAAGAAATACACAATAACCAGGCTGCCACTATGACTGTTAAGTAAATCATTGTAATCCTAATGGCAGCATGTAATCATCAGGGTTTGGGAGGAGTTAACAGTTCATTTATAATGAACATGCTAAATATAGAAAGGGTTTGTGAATTATAGTATAAATGACATGAGAAATCAAAGACTACATACAGGTTTCAAGATATTTGTTAGAATCAGATAATATCACTTTTGGAATGCAATATAATTATATTTGTATTTTAAAGTTCCAATGTGTGCATAAAAGACTACTGTATTAAAAATCCCTAAAACCACAGTAAGCAAGATGTTACACAAATATCTTGTAATTATAAAGTTTCCCTGATTTAAACAAATGAAATAAAAAGCTTTGGAGATTTTAAATCAAGATAAAACAAAAAGACTCATAGGAAGCTGAGGAGCAGAGGATTGATAAAAAAGTTTAAAATGAAAAAAAATGTCAGTTATAGTAAAAACTTTCACCGAAAAAGGCAAGGAGGATTCAGACTGCAGCAGGATATCACAAAATAAAATGAAATGAAACAAACAAACAAATGTGATCCTGTGAAAGAAACAATAAATACAAACCACAATGAAATCGCTAATGGATTATTTTTCAGGAGTTGCAGTTCTTGGGAGGCAAAGCAACTACAGGTATGAAGGTATGAGCTTCAAATCTGTTTCAAGGCAGTTATTTCTCAAAATTGAATCTGACTCCCAGATCACCCTAGCCTAAAATGGGAATCAGGTACTGTCAACCCAGCCTAAAATGGGAATCAGGTTTTGTCAACCCAGCCTAAAATGGGAATCAGGTACTGTCAACCCAGCCTAAAATGGGAATCAGGTATTGTCAACCAATGCCTAAAATGGGAATAGGGTATTGTCAACCAATGCCTAAAATGGGAACCAGGTATTGTCAACCAATGCCTAAAATGGGAATCAGGTATTGTCAACCCAGCCTAAAATGGGAAGCAGGTATGTCAACCCAGCCTAAAATAGGAACTAGGTATTGTCTACCCAGCCTAAAAGGGGTGCAACATAATGTCAACGCAGCCTTAATGGAAGCCACGTAATGTCAACCCAGCCAAAAACTGGTACCACATAATATCAACCTAGCCTAGAATGAGTGTAAAGTCCATCCAGTCTAAAACTGGTGCCAGGTTATATCAGCCCAGCCTAAAGAGGGTGCCATGTAATGTCAATCCAGCTTAAAAGGGGTACCATGTCATGTACTGGGAAGTAAATGTGGCCAATGGGATGGTGACCATATCCACCACTGAATGCTAATTGGTTTATAAAAGTATAGGTCTAGCACCGTATGCCACAGGTACCAAAGGTGTGAAAGAAGGTCCTTTACATTTCCTCTCAGTTTGTGTTTCATGTATAAATTTGTAATGAGGAAAGAGCTCTTTACTTTAAAGTGCCTAAACTAATTTACCTCCAGTGCAGAAGATCATGGGTTTATTTTAGGTTAGGCTTTTGGTTAATGAAACAGTTTATCAGAGACCCTGGGAATTGTCACTAAAACTACAGAGTTTTTGATTTGTTTCATACTTTCCACGGGTCTTTTTTTTTCTTCTTTCTTTTTCTTCTTCTTCGCATTCACCGGCTGTAAACTCCGCTGAAACATTCTGACTGTTCATCTACTTCGGGACTTTAATCTTGCTGCAGAAACCGAGTTTTTTTGTGTGCACATCCGTTTTACAGATCTGGTGTATTTGTATGCAGCTGCTGGTTGCTTGCCTCTATGGTAGATACACTCCGACTTAGAAGGAAGCATTCCTAATTAGTTGGCTCAGACAAAATGCTTGTTAGGAGGCAGTGTGTCTACTATTTGTGTGTGTGTGTTCATAATGGGGACCTGGAACCAACACAGGGGGCTTCCCACAGGGGATACGAGTTGAGTCGAGGACAGACATAACGGCACTCAGGACATTCCCATAAACACGTCATCCCTATCTTCAGCAACCAGGAAGTGTTCCTATTCTGACGATACTAGTATCAGTCCATCTTGCCTTTCAACAAACTGGCAGTAGTATGCTTTTTGACAGATAGAGAGACTGGTCAGAGGGGATAAAACCCAGTGCAATGAAACTGATAATCTCCCATTTAACACTTCTTTGATAATTAGTTAGTCTATGGGGTTTGTATTTGTTGTTTCTTCACATGATTTCCCTACACCAAAGACCAAAAAAAAAGTTGAAAAACGAGTTCCAGAACTGACAATGACTCACTCTTTGACTGGAGAAGTGGAGCTGGGGGACGCCACGGCTGGGGACATGTGACCAAACTGTGCCCGAGCCAGAGAAACGGCTGTCCCTATGGCTCTTACAACAATCCCAGATTCTCCTTCCAGGTCAAAATTTTGGAAATACCTAAACGTAAATACAGATTAAATGATTACAGCATTTGTAACAACATTTATCAGTATAGTTAGTTAGTCTTTCCTCTTGTGTCGAGTGCGGCACATAGGGCAGAGGTCGCGACTCTCCATGCACGGCGGTCCGTTGCAATCCGTTGTAGGTCTTGGATGTTTGAGTGGCCCATGAGCGAGCCTTCCCTGATGATAGTTCTACGTAGGGTTTCCCTTGGTCTTCCACGAGATCTTTTCCCCTGTGGTGTCCAAATGAGGGCTTGGTAAGGAAGTCTTGATTTATCCATTCTAAGGGCGTGGCCGACATAGTTCCAGCGGCGTTTTCGTATAAAATTAGACACATACTCTTGCCTGGATTCTTGCCTTATTTGTGTATTTTTCGGAAATCTGACCATTTGAAATTTAGTATTCTTCTAAGGCATTTATTTACAAAACTGTCTAATTTTGTGTCTAGAGTTTTCGTTGATTTCCAGCTCTTGCATCCATAGGTTAGTACTGGAATCACACAAGAATTGAAGATCTTGAGTTTTGTGTGTTTGCTAAGTGTCTTTGATTTCCAGATGTTAGACAGTTTATTGAAGGCACTAGATGCCAGTGCTATTCTAAATGATATTTCTGGTGCGGTATCTCCTGTAGATGACATCTTGCTCCCTAGATAAGTGAAACTGTTGACTTTTTCAAGGCTGTTATATCAGTATCTGTGATTTAAATGCAGGTATACTATCTCTCACTGAGAAATTCCCCCCCCCCCCCCCCCCCCCCAAAAAAAAAATTGTCTAACTTAACCCTACTAGACCTGAGGCCCTGAACCTAACTGCCCACTATACCTGAGTTCCTGGGAATTAACACACACAAAATCAACACGATATATAAAAATATTAGTTAATGCAAACAAGTGGTTAGAATAAGATGCAACTAGGAAATATTGTAGAAAATAGGTTTAACTTTTATCTAGCGCCAATATTCCACCTTTGTGTGCCGATCCACCCAGTAGGATCAGCCTTGTTTCACAAAGTGAGCACCAGATGTTGCTGTTTGAGGGACACGTCACCCCCTTCTCTTACTATCAATCTAGTTTTAAATCTATATTTATCAAGATTCTCATCACTCGAGCTCTCCTTGACTGTGTCACTTCAACTGGGAACGTATTCTTCATGAAATTTTTACTTAGCAGAGTCTGAATCAACCAAAGTATCGATCACCTGCTGGACTGTGAAAAGCCTAGACCAACTTCACTTTCCTGTCGAAGTGCTTGGTTCCTCAAGCGCTCATTTCATTGTGAATTTTCATAATTTATTTTCACGTTAAACCACATAAAATAAATCCAATCTGGAATGACTATCCACCTGATCTGACCATGACTGGCTAGTTATTTTTAGTTTGTGACGCATTGTTTTCACGTAATACGCAAAGTACCGACAATGAGGTACAGTGGTTTAGCGGCAGATTAGGAAATTATCGCAGAAGCGGTACATTGGTCTCGTAGAGTTAAAAGTTAAGAAATTCTGACAGCAAAACAACAACAAAAAGTTAAGAAATTATTGAAAACAAAATGTTAGAAAATTCTGAAAGACAAAAATGTAAGAAATTCCTCAAACAAACAAACAATTTTTTTTAAAAATGTATTACTGAAACTAAGAGCAAAGAAATTCTTCCAACAAAATGTACCCAAAAATATGTCCAAAAAAAAAATGACAAAGTCAAGAAATTCTGAATTTAAAAAAAAGCTAGGGAAGTTGAGTGATCAATTCTTTATGCTCTTTACGATTTGCGATTGCTGGGGGATTTTTAACATATGTAATGTGTGCACAGGTTCTAAGGTTTTCATCCTTGTCTGAGAAGCCTAGACATTCAATCCACTACCCTTTTAAAGATCCTGGAAATATCAGCCCCATGTACTGACCTTCTTAAAGGAAAAAGTAGTGCAGTGGCCACGTTTCTGAAACCCAAAGGTCTTAGTGTGAATCTGCATAAAGGCAGCTTTTTATTATTGACCTAAGTTCCTAAGATCTGCTTTTTTATTTTAAATCAAAAATTAAAAAGAAAAAAAAACTATTTTGTTGCGTTAACCGGCCGTAAATTCTAGCGAAAAGGTCTGGCTGTTCGTTCATGTCTGAACTTTGATCTTCTTCTAGAACTTGAGTTTTTTGTGTGCACAATCATTTTACATATCTGGCTTATCTGTAGGCAGACCGCTAGTTCCTCTGAGGCAGATACAACACACCTTTGAAGGAAACAACTCTTAATTAGTTGCCTTCTAAACCATGCTTACTTGGGGGGGGGGGGGGGGGAGGGGTGTCTATTTTGTACTCCCAAAAATGGGGCCCTGGAACCCACACAGAAATGGTTACCAGGATGGTTCAGTCTAAAAAAGGGTCCCATGAAATATTTAGGGAAGTATGGGCAGCCGACGTGATATTCATAACATCCCCAATTAAGGGTCTATTGATCTATACAACATATGTCCCATGTGACAATTATCAGGAAAACGGTCCATTAATTTGTTTATGCTGCCATCTCTACGTTTTTAATAATTACAACTACAGTAAAATCTCTTTTACATGAAATTGCTTAAGGTGAACAATTAGTTATCATGAACAAAATGTGGCTCCCTGCAGGAATGTTCATGTATTATTACAATGTTTTAGTTCACAGTTAGCACACATCTTGTAACACAAACTCTTGCTTTTTTTTGTTTTAGTTCCCTGGAATTTGTGTTAACGAGGTTTTACTGTAGCTGATCCAGCAATAATCAGAACTTCCTACCCTAAAACAGCATTGCCTCCCATCTCCAACACTTTGACGCCGAGTTTCCTCTGTAATGTCCCTGTTGGGAAATCAGTTAAAAAATGACATAAACAGGTAATGCCTGTGAATAATATTAAACAAATTAACTGGTATGAAATATTTCAATATTCGATTCTTGTATTAGTCAAGAGTCAAACAATACTGCTTCCGTTTCTTCGCCATCTTTTTCTGTGTTCGCCGGTTGTGAACTCATGTGGAAAATTAAAGTTCGCCCGCCCATGTCTGGAATTTGGCCTTGTTTCAAGAGTTGAGTGTAGCCTGAACATCCATTTTACAGACATGGCTTATGTTTGTGCGATCCACCTTCAAGGGAAATATCCATTCTATCTATGTTGGCCGCCTTTTTCTTCTTCTCTTCCACCATTTACCTCAGCGAGGTTTTAGGGGGAGATGTAAGGATCGTTTGTGCGCTTTTTCAAATGCATTGTACAAGTTGGTGTTCATTTCTGTTAGGTTGCTCCTGATGTCGTCGACCCATCTCTTGCGGGGTCTTCCCTTTGCTCTGTGTTCATTATATTTCTTCAGCATGGCTCTGTGTGGCAGTTGGTACCAGAGCATCCTCATCAGGCGGTCAAACCATCTCATTTGTTGTTCTTTAATGAACTGTATGACTGTTTTCAGTTCTAGTCTTTTTCTAATTTCTTCATTCTTGATTCTATCTCTTCTTGTCACATCGGCAGCTCTCCTAAGACACCTCATCTCTGTTGTTGCGATCTTAGATCTTATGATCTATGTTGGCCAAGCCACCATCATGGACTAAGTTTCCAGGATGGCATGGAGATGACCAGAGAGATGACCAGTTTATCTCTGGTCCTAGTGCATTACTGCACATGATGGTTCACTTCTGTATCCCGGTACAACTGGGGTACTCAACCTTTTTCAAGTCCCAACCCGATTTTACAGAGGCAAAGTGACCTGTGACCTCATACTTTAAAAACAGGCTTTGTAATATGCTAAATGAAAACACATCAAAAATAGCTGTTTCAGTATAATTCGAAACAAAATTAGCTGTTGACATATTTAATGTGATGACTGAAACTGTTAACTCATTAACAAGCTTACACATTTGTTTTTAAATGATATGTTGAGGTATCTTTGTAGCAACGCACCTGACGAGATACAGCAAAATATGTCTGGCAATAAATCATGCAACGTGTTGTTCGTGTCCTCATTATTGAAATTTATTATGAGAAAACAGTGTTTTGAATTACACATTTGTGACTGATATGTTGATATGATTTATTATATTTTGCAGAATTCACCAGTATCGAGTAAAAGCCACTGCTGCCCACAAGAAACAAGGCAGGGTGTTGAGCGTCTGTGTCTCACCAAGAAGCGATCAACTAAACAGCGAGCAGCGCCCACATTCTTCAAACAAATCTCTGTCCAGGATGCGATGACATCATTTAATTTTTTCTGTGTTTTCCCTTTAAACATTTTTATAGATCACCACAGCCTGCTGACCCTATAGAAAAACCTTGGAAAACGGGCAGTAGAACAATCATCATCATCATGTAGCAGCTCCTTTGCAGAACGTCGCTCTCATCACTGTCTGCCTGAAAGAAACACGGCCTCTCGTCAACTCTCCCGCCTCATGCACTTTCAAACTTCGTGTTGGTCGGCCCCTGTCTCTCCTTCCTGGTACCATGCCTTCTGCTATTATTTTTTTCAAATCCGTCGTGGCGCTTAGTATGACCAAAATATTTCAGCTTCCAAGTCAGGATGCTGTTTATTAGCCAATCTTCATTGATGTTCAGATCTTTCAAGATGTCAGTATTTCTCCTCTTCTTTTTCCAAGACATTCTGAGAACTTTCTATAGCATTTCAGCTCTAAAAGCCCCTATTCTCTTTCTTAAGGGCTGAGAAGAACAGTAGCACCATGATAACATAGTGGGTAACTTTTGAGGGAAAGAGGGCAAAAGGAAGGCAAAATGATAAATACCTGCATGGCTTGTCCATATGGATGGGGCGAGACAAGAAGATTGACCTGCTTCATGATTTTAATGAACATATGAGATGGGGAAACATGACAGTTTATGCTTACCGGCATGTCCCACGATGATGTTAACAACTGCTTTTACAATTGGACAGTATTGTTTCTCATAGTTTTGGATGGTTAAATAGGAGACTTTTCTCTGACATTAAAAAAAATAAATTATTTTGAGTTTTCAAATCTCTCTTTTGTTTTTTCTTCTTCTTCGTCTTCTTCTTCTTCAGCATTCTGAACCCTTATGGTTCATAGCTGCAGATATCACCCGCCTCCACTCATCTCCCTGGTCAGCATTCTCTTTCCAGTTGATGACACCAAGTGTTAATCTCTCTGTTCTGGTACACAAAATTATGTACAAGAAAATAACGCTGCATACTTGAGTTTACAAAGCTCTTTGTTTTTTGTTTTTTTTTAAAACATTTCCTTAGAAACAATCAAGTAACCAACCTGAGAGTTTAGAAAACAGTCTTTGCCTTGCTTCATTGGATGCTCGTGGAGTTCGAATCTTTTCAATCCACTGGTACTCGGGGTCATCATTAACCACCAGCTCTTCAATGAAGCCCAGCATGTTCTGCACACACCAACCTGACGGCACAGCACTGGCTGATCACAAGACAGAGCCACGTGTTAGAAACCCATGGTTAAGTCAGCAAATATTTTCAAATTTCTGAGTTCAAATAATGGGGGAACAAACAATATACAATGCAAGCTTAGGATACACAAATCTGTTTATAAAATGTCCAATTTCTGAGTTTAAATAATAGGGGAACAGACAACATACAATGCAATCTCCTGACATACAATTTAAAACAAAAAATTTAATTTCCCATTTGTGAGTTCAAATAATGAGGCACAAGCAATTTACAATGCAACCTAGAGATAAAAATAAAAAACATAAAAATTAAATTAAATTAAATGACCCATTTTTTAGTTTAAATAACGAGGCAATTAACAATTTACAATGCAACCTCAAAGATATAAAATTATTTAAAAAAAAAAAAAAATTAAAATAACATAGAATGACTTATTTTTAGTTCAAATAATAGGTGCACAGACAATATACAATGTAACTCAAGGATACAGAATTTGTTATGTCTTGTTTTGTTTTGTTCTGACCTTGTTAACTAACTGTCCAGAATTCACAGTAGTATATTAAAAACGGCTTTGCATAACACACAAGAATTATGATTAAAGTCTTTCAGTATCAAATAATGCACTATGTGTGACTGCATTTACCCATAATAACTAGACAAAATTATTATTATGCTAGTACATTTGACATTTAGAAGGACATAGTAAAACATCCAACAGCGCATCAGTCTCCTACATGGGTTGTGTATTTAGCTCCTGTGGATGTAGTATACCCATGATTTTGTTGCTGTCATTATCACATCATTCAGGATTTTTTTTTTGGGACTGAAAAAGCTTAAATATAGTCACATGCATTTACTTCTCAAGAATAATCTTCGTCCTCTTAAAAGGACAATGGAGCCTCAGAACGCACATGGAGGAATCTGCACTGAATAAAATTAACATCTACATTTAAACTAAAAATCCGTCCACGCCAATCATCGTCTTTTAAAAAATTTTTCCTGTTTTTTTTTTTTTTTGTGTGTTAAAATTTTGGTTTGAAAAGAAGAAGAAGAAGAAGAGGAAAAGAAGAAGAAGAAGAAGAAGAAGAGGAAAAGAAGAAGAAGAAGAAGAAACAGAAGAGGAAGAAAAAAAGAAGAAGAAATAGAATAAGGATAAGGAGGGGGAGAAGAAGAAGAAGAAGAAGAAGAAGAAGAAGAAGAAGAAGAAGAAGAAGAAGAAGAAAAAGAAGAAGAAGAAGAAGAAGAAGAAGAAGAAAAAGAAGAAGAAGACGAAGAAGAAGAAGAAGAAGAAGAAGAAGAAGAAGAAGAAGAAGAAGAAGAAGAAGAAGAAGAAGAAGAAGAAGAAGTAGAAGAAGAAGAAGAGGAGGAGGAGCAGCAAGTCCTATAAAGAACGTCACTGTCATCACAGCACGCCTAGAAGTACCTCTTTCTCTATCCAATACTCGTGCCCTATGTGCTTTCACAGCCAACGCATCTTCAATGTCTTGTTTCCACTTTCACAGAGTTATGCCCCTGTGGTTTTGTTTTTCTTTCTGGAAACAGTACCCATCATCACTGATGTCTCTCGGCCCTCCTGACATTTAACATAGCTAAAATACCTCAGCTTTCAGGATAGGATGCACTTTATGAACCAGTTCACCTTAGTGCTCAGATACTGCAGGACGAGGGTCCATGGTATTATAAGAATTTTTCTGTAGCATCTGATGTATAAAGCTCTGAATTTTTAGCTTCCCAGGAAAGGATATTGCCTAAAACAAAACACAAAAGATATCTAAAACAAATCCATTAAAAAAATGTCTGCTTACTACAGAAAAATTGGATGCCACATGATGACTGTCTGAACTTATTAAAATCGCTGAAGAGCTCCACACGCACTTGAATGTTTAACTCTCCTCTCAGGCCTGTCAGGAATTTACAGCAGAAATAAAGTGTATAAGGTTTGTTGAACACATTGTGTTAAAGGTAAAGTAAGTCTTATAAAAGATATTTATGTGGTGTACAGCTTGGCAGCGGTATCTATGCCTTTTGGCTCAACACATCCAATTTTAACAAACTCTTAACTCTTTCAGTATGGTGGTACTCACTGTGCGTTCACTGGTTTATGTTTATGTGGCCAATATTTCTTCCCCAATTATCTTTCATTCATCTGTTATGTTAACTCATTATAAGTCAATTATCACTAGAACTTCTTCTTCTTGAATCGGAAGGTCGTGGGTTTGCTCCCTGGCGGAGCTGGAATTCTTTCCCAACTCCTAGGTTGACCCAGCCTTGAGTGAGTACCGGGTGCAGTCCCGGAAAGTAAAGGCTGACCACATCACCCATCTTGTGTCGATTTGTCTATAAAAATATAAGTCTAGCCCTATATGCCCTATAAGATGAAAGGCGTGAAAAAGGAACCTTTACTTTACTTTACTTCTTCTTCTTCCCCAAAGCCATACTTTTTCCAAAAGATAAAGTTCAAACATTTTTGCTCTAAGATATAAAAACTTTAGCATGGGCAGTATTGCTAATGTAAGAACTACTAGGGTCTGGAAAACTTAATTAATCACCTTGTATGACAGGGCTGTTACACAGGTGCCAAATCTTTGAAAAAGATAGTAATCGCAGGTGAGAAGCTTCGGCCCCAGCATAGAAAGATTACTAACACTATACAACTGGTAGCTATCCGCTGGCCACCTGCTAGGTCTCCGCTGGCCATCTGCTAGGTCTCCGCTGGCCATCTGCTAGGTCTCCGTGGGCCACCTGCTAGGTTTCCGCAGGCCACCTGCTAGGTCTCCGCTGGCCGGCCACCTGCTAGGTCTCTGCGGGCTACCTGCTAGGTCACCATTGACCACCTGCTAGGTCTCTGCGGGCCACCTGCTAGGTAACCATTGACCACCTGCTAGGTCTCTGCGGGCCACCTGCTAGGTCTCCGCTGGCTGGCCACCTGCTAGGTCTCTGCAGGCCACCTGCTAGGTCACCATTGACCACCTGCTAGGTCTCTGCGGGCCACCTGCTAGGTCACCATTGACCACCTGCTAGGTCTCTGCGGGCCACCTGCTAGGTCACCACTGACCACCTGCTAGGTCTCTGCGGGCCACCTGCTAGGTCACCATTGACCACCTGCTAGGTCACCATTGACCACCTGCTAGGTCACCATTGACCACCTGCTAGGTCACCATTGACCACCTGCTAGGTCACCATTGACCACCTGCTAGGTTTCTGCGGGCCACCTGCTAGGTCACCATTGACCACCTGCTAGGTCACCATTGACCACCTGCTAGGTCACCATTGACTACCTGCTAGGTCACCATTGACCACCTGCTAGGTCACCATTGACCACCTGCTAGGTCACCATTGACCACCTGCTAGGTTTCCGCGGGCCACCTGCTAGGTCACCATTGACCACCTGCTAGGTCACCATTGACCACCTGCTAGGTTTCCGCGGGCCAGATTTAGCCTGTAGGCCACCAGTTCAATAGCCCATTTACGACATGCTTGTTAGAGGGTCTACTCTTTCTGTTTCCAACTAAAATGGGATCTTGGGACTGGAATTTGAAGGTTTGAACTCTGAACAACAGATCAACATCATGGCACAAGGTAGCAACCCATAAGTGGCGTTTTCTTCCTCTAACTAAAGTCCGAGTTTGAAGAAGCTCAGCACATTGCATAGGCTCTGTAGCACCGGTGGGGATCCAGAAATACTTTGGGTAGATTTTTAATTTTACATTTTGCCCAGGGAAGTGCTGTTGGGCTATTCTTTTTATTTTCCAACTGCAAAGGGATTTTTTTACGTGCGTAACAATGTGGTACGATCTCACTACCCAGAGAGCAGAGGGAATTACTAGAAGTCCAAGTACACATGAAAAAATCCCAGCCTTTACCGGGAAATGAACCCGGAACCTCTAGCACTCGAGACGGATACCATACCTTGAGACCAAACAGACTTGGGACTGGGTTTGGTATAACCCTTCCAGAACTTTATAGAGATCTAAGAATACGCAGACTTGTCTGGAGTTCAGGGGTAACAGTCTGTTTTGATAATATGAAAGGCAGAATACGAAATCATGAAATCAGACGAATGCTAGGAATAAAGCCAGTCTTACAGGTCATCAAAGAACAACAAATAAAGTGGTTTGGACACTTATCAAGAATGCTCTGGTACTATCTGCCACAGCGATCCCCACTAAAATGTTACAAATCGTATAGAGGGAGTGGAAGACCTCAGAAAAGATGGAGTGATGGCATTAAGAACAGCCTTACAGAAATGAACATCAGTCTTAATAGTGCTCTTGACAGAGCTCATCAACGAATGTTACATCTCCTCCTGACACTTCGATGAGGTACAAGGTGGAAGAGAAGAAGAAGATAATCGGAAAAATCTCTAAGTGTATTTATAATTAAAACTTATTAAAAAAATTAAAAAAAAAAAAACTTCTGACCTTGCATAGTATCATATATTGGGAACCAGCCAGTAATAATGTTGGGGGTCTCACGAGTCAACAGTGGGTTCAAGTCTATGTAAACTTTACCAATAGTATCATGGGCACTGTATGTGTCATAGTCCAGCACTCTATAATGAAAAACAATGAGGGAAAAACAATAAACATCTTCAAAATATGCCAATGAAAATACTGTTACATACAGGGGAGAATAAAAATCCCTTCTCCACAAATCAGAGGAAAGCAACTCTAAAACTTGACCAGGTAAAATCACATCTCTACAAAACAGAGGAAATTTCATAACATAAACAGCAAAAAATTATATCTCTATAAACCAGAAGGAAAACAACTGTACAACATAAACAGAGAAAAATCATACCTCTTTGCAAAACAACTCTAAAACATAACCACTAAAAACAACATTTCTACACTGTACACAATTAACTCTTTGAGTCCCAAGGAATGCATCACGCGCTAACTGGTTACAACTCAGCGACCCAATCAGCGGATGGCAAGTGAGGTTAATTAACTCCTGACCGATAATAAAACGTGGACCGCTCAATTTCAACTTTTTTTTCAAATCTTTGTGTTTGATATCAAGTGTGCTCATTTGGAAACGTGGTTGAAAGACGAAAATATAGTATATTCACGAGGATTAACGAGTTACTAAGTGTTTGTTTGAAAACAATATGGCCACAGAGCAGTATTCTGCATGCATGCCAACGTGAGTTACAAATTTAGAAGCCTCAGATTTTAAAAAAAAGCATGTGTTTATTAGATTTATCCAAAGTTAGATAGATAACATTGCGAAGTAGACTCATTTCAGTCATTTATAGAGTCAAACTTTGATGAGAGATAGCTCTAATATGTACATTACGTGAAGGGTACAACGATAGCAAAGTCAGCTGGTACAAATAGAATAAATATTAGTGAAAAAGCAATTTTCTTCCGTGTCAGTTTGTTCTAATGCTATTCCCCTTATTATTTAGGAACATAGCTTATACATGACCAAGTGGTTCATGTTCATTTGTGATGCATTTTGGATATATTTGAACAAGTTTTCCTTGAGTGCTGTTGTGGTAAGTGGAAAAATTATTATTTCATTTTACTAATTTCTGTAAACATACCGTCTGCTTATTTACTAATATTTAATTACTAACACAATTATTTGTTGTATCTGTATTCTATTATTGTTCCCTAACAATCATGAGTCATTTGGATGTAAAATATGTGTATGTTACAAGGTAGTTAAATTAGTATGGTGTTTTAATTTGTTACACTTGAGACAATAAAAAATTGCATTACCCTCCCTTGGGCCTCTGATGCTAAACCCCTGGAACTCAAACAGTTTAAGATTTTTTTTTTAATTCTGTAAAAAAAAGTGAGGGGAGAACAGCACAGGTCTAAAATATACAAAAAATTAAACATCATAACAACAACAGAGTAAAACCACATCTTACAAAAATGGAGGAAAACATCTCTCTAAACCTTAGACTATTAAGGGAAAAACAACACATCTTTACAATAAACACAGAGGAAGTCTCCATTAGGTTTCTGCATTAACAACACATCTCTACATCAACACCACATCTCTATATCAACAAGATTTATCTACATTAACAACACCTTTCTACATCAGCAAGATATCTCTATATTAACAATACATCTCTACATCAACAACACATCTCTATATCAACAAGAGATCTCTACATTAACAACACCTCTCTACATCAACAACACATTTCTACATCAACAACACATCTCTACATCAACAACACATCTCTACATTAACAACACATCTCTACATTAACAACACATCTCTACATCAACAACACATCTCAACCTTAACACACACATCTCTACATCAACAACACATCTCTATATCAACAAGAGGTCTCTACATTAACATCGCCTCTCTACATCAACAACACATCCCTACATCAACAACACATCTCTACATTAACAACACATCTCTACATTAACAACACATCTCTACATCAATAACACATCTCTACATCAACACCACATCTTTACATTAACAACACATCTCTACATCAATAACACATCTCTACATCAACAACACATCTCTACATCAACAACACATCTCTACATCAACAACACATCTCTAAATTAACAACACATCTCTACATCAACAACACATCTCTACATCAACAACACATCTCTACATCAACAACACGTCTCTAAATTAACAACACATCACTACATTACCAACACAATGAAGAAGAGGAGAAGCAGCAGTACAAGATGCGCCGGAAGCAAAAGAAGACTACACTGCCTAAGTATAAGGTGGACAAGTGTGAGAGATGGGTCTGCATTCATGAGAAGCTAACTTCTGATGGTACCTCAAATCCAGTGGCTCATCCTGGAGAACTTCATCATCAACCTGTGATCAGAAAGCAAACAACAAATTTCAAAGATGTTATGATAACTAAAATGTGCAGGACAGTGGTTCCCAATTAGCTAAGACCTGCTGACTCCTATTTGGATCATCGCTTTAGATCAGCGGTTCTCAGCCTGTGAGTTACGACCCCTTTTTGGGGTTGAACGACCCTTTCACAGGGGTTGCCTAAGACCATCGGAGAACATATATTCACTGAAGTTATCAAGTAGCAATGAAACAATTTTATGTTTGGGGGTCACCACAACATGAGGAACTGTATTAAAGGGCAGCAGCACTAGGAAGGTTGAGAATTAATGCTTCAGATGAACCCTGTCACCCATAGAAAGCTGGTTTTCTGACTTTTATTGGATTTTGATGACATAACATCTTTGGGCAGTTATAGTAGATTTGACCCCACTAGGACATCACACAAGCGATAAACACCCGATGACACAAAGTTCCACCATGTGGATGAGGATCAACCGTGGAGAGGTCCCAAAAACCGCGTTCAGCCATTAGACCATATTTATGGTCGGGCTATACTGCGGCCCCCAGCAAGAGCCAGGGTGGGGCTTCAAAAAAAAATGAAAAATTGCATCTCACAAGGAGATGACTGGATGTGCTATAGATAAATCTTTGGGCAGTGGCCAATGCAGCTATATGACAGCTTTGGTACTGGTTGCAACTGCACTGTGTGTAGACATGGCAGATAAGATTATATTTATTTTTATTTTGTTGGTGATATTACTTGGGGTGAAGAAAAAAATTGATTCTTTTCATTGTGATGTCATAATAAACTTATGATGTTACTCTGCCCTCTGTAGCTTTATCAAAAACTCTTATGTTTTTCTTTGTCCGTGAGAAGGAAAGCAGTTATTTCTTTGCTCCCTTTGAATTTAGTAATTATTTCCTTTCTATTAAAAAAAAATATTTCTTTGTTGCAAAAAATAGCTCTAAATATGAAAATTCATCTTTTCAATGACTCCGTGGCCGCAATGATGAAGTAGCTAACAGGCTTGCCTGCCTGTTCGGTGGTCATAGGTTTCAAACCCCCAGATTCTCATTAAAAACTGACCAAGAATCCACATTTCTTCTACTTTTTTCCTCTAGTTTGTTAGGTTACAGTTTCAGAGAATTAGAACAATGTCATTCCTTTTTAACAAAGTTTTGAAATTATTTTAGGCCAGGAAATGTATTCCATTTAATGTTTTACTTTGTTTATGTTTTATTGATTGCTATCTTTATACAATAAACAAATTTACCAGGTAGACAAATAAGCTGTTCATTTATTAGTGACATATGTTCAGTTTTTCTCTTCTTCTTCTTCGCGTTCTTGGGCGGTAAACTCCGGCCTAAAGTTCTGGGTATTCGTCTACCTCCGGACTTCAGTCTTGCTTCAGAACCTGAGTGTTGCGTGCACATCGGTTTCCCAGATCAGGCTTATTTGTATGCCGACCTGTGGTTCCTTGCCTCTCAAGCAAATATACTCTGACTTAAAAGGATGTCCCTAATTCCCATATTCCTATATCCTATGCCATTCTTGTTGGAGAGGCAATGGGTCTGTTCTTGTTTTTTCCCACAAAAGGGCCCTGGAACCCACACACAGATAAATTGTTTTTGTTTTAAACAACTATTCCAGAATTCCGACAAGGTCATTATCAAGTTTCTGAGTGCTCTCAGGGTGAGACGGTCAAGGATATTGGGATCCTACAGGAGCAAAGATGTGCAGCAAAAGACTTGTGAAGTCTCTCATCCTCTCGTGCTTGAACCTAATTCACCTTCAAGTGGTACAGCCTGTTCTCCCCAGAGGAAAGTTAGGGTTTGTTAGTTAGTTAGTTGGGTTATCATCATTGCACTTCGGACATGTCCATAGATGCTCAGATCCTCCCCTCAGTAGAAACCCCGGCATCCGGTGGTTAAAAGTACCAGTTATATGTTGATTACAGGTCCTCTGATTTGCCTGCTGTGTGTCTCTTTTTTTACTATGCCGATCGATCTCAACTCCCTAGTCAATCATTCTGGTGAGTGATTTGGATTCACTGTCCCCAAAGTCCTCCACCCTTCCAAAAATTCCGGGTTTCAACCCTTAGTAAGGATTAGATGAGACAAGAAATGAAGTAAAGACAAAATTCGTTTTCTTGACAGCTGGAACAGGGATAAGCCCCCTCTGAAGAGATCCTGAAGCTGCCAATATTGTGGCAGAAGATTGAAAACAAACAAAAACAGTATCACCAAACATCAGAATTATGAATGAATACACTGTCAGATAACTGTTGGTCTAAACAGCAGGGATTCAATCAGTAGAAACAAAAGTAGCTATGGATACTTCTTCTTTGCATTCAATAGCTGTAAACTCTTTCTGCTTCTGGTTGTTCGTCCACTTATGAAATTTGTGTCTTGTTCCTTCAGTTCTGCATGCATATAATTTCTTTAGATCTAGCTAAGCTGTGTGCAGACTGTTGGTTCCTCGCTTCACAGGCAGATGTACTCTGACTCGGAAGGAAACATCAATCCTTTCCATCTTGGCCAGGTACCTGTATGAGAACCTGAGTCTGGGATGACTGCGGAGAGGCGTAGGCAGGTATTGACCACTATGAGCCCCAGTTCTGGTGCACCACCATATGTGGTTCAGCACCTCTGCATCCCATAAAGGTTACTAAAAGTGCACACCCGTAGTCTTTGAAAACCTGAAGAGTAAAATGCACGTACAAAAGATGAAGCATCGACACAACACCACCTAGCGCATAACAGACAACAATGAAAGCACAGACCTCAAATTTAAACCACTCAGAATTCCACTGGGGGTTCAATGACTTCTTGCAGACTTCAGTTTTAAATATCTCTGTACCAAACTTTACCTAAAAAAAGCAATTATATAGTACACTATTAAGAAAAATCATAGAAAATTTAATAACTATGATATTTTATTGTAACACGTATGTCACTATTGTTATTAAGGATGTCAAGAGTGTTAAGCATGTTACATCACAGTGCAGACAAACACGGCTTAAATTTGACGTTCTTGACGACAATACAGACAGGTTGCAAGACAAAGGCATGGTTATTGTAAGTCTTATCCCATTTTAAAGGTTTTTCATTTCAGCTCCCCGATAAATAACGATAACAAACATGGGTTGGATATTATGATATACAGTATTTACCCATGTATAGATTGCATGAGTGATGGGCCACATCCCATTTCTAAGATGACAATTTTAGGAAACAATAATTTTCTTAGAATTTGGTAAAGACCAAAACCAAAAAAAAAAGTAGTCCTTGAACTTTGGAAGACAGAGCAAGTTATAACTGTAAATTTAAAATGTAAGTATTCTGTTATGCACAAGAAAATTTAAACTGAGCACTTGTGAGGAAGTTCAAAGTGGATGAGAAATAAATATGTGAAGATGGATTGGAATGAAAGATGCTCTTGAAAAAAAAAAACATTTCATAGTCAGAGTCAACAATCTTTTCATGGCAAGAAGGTGGAAAAACTGAAGAAAATACATGCTGGTGATTTTTCTTTGTCAGTGGAAATGTTAGTTTGAACAAGTCAATTATCTGATGTCAAAGGAATTCCTCAGAGTGAATTTAGAGCCAGTTATAGCTGGGCAAGGCGTTCTGCGGCACAGAAATGACCTTGTGATTCAGCGCTTGACAACAATGGGGTCAATTACTGGTATTGTTTTCCTAAGGTACATTCATAATGGTGTATTATTTAGTGATAAATTGTGTTCAGTGACATGTAGGCCTAATACAGTGACATGTAGGCCTAATACAGTGACATGTAGGCCTAATACAGTGACATGTAGGCCTAATACAGTGACATGTAGGCCTAATACAGTGACATGTAGGCCTAATACAGTGACATGTAGGCCTAATACAGTGACATGTAGGTTTAATACAGCGACATGTAGGCCTAATACAGTGACATGTAGGTCTAATACAGTGACATGTAGGCCTAATACAGTGACATGTAGGCCTAATACAGTGACATGTAGGCCTAATACAGTGACATGTAGGCCTAATACAGTGACATGTAGGCCTAATACAGTGACATGTAGGCCTAATACAGTGACATGTAGGCCTAATACAGTGACATGTAGGCCTAATACAGTGACATGTAGGCCTAATACAGTGACATGTAGGTCTAATACAGCGACATGTAGGCCTAATACAGTGACATGTAGGTCTAATACAGTGACATGTAGGACTAATACAGTGACATGTAGGCCTAAAACAGTGACATTTAGTCATTTTCTGTTCTAGTGCCCTATTCATTATGCTGTACTTTACCTCAACAAAAGCATCGGTCAACTCGCTGGCCCTGTCCATGACAGGCAGATCTCGCGCACTAAGAATACGGACTTTAACTCTTCCAGGCATCTAAAGATGAAAAATTGGAATAAATATACAAACAAGCTCTATGGCTTAGAGATTAGTGAATGTGTAAAACAATTTCTTGATCTTCAATCACTAGGGTTCAATTCCTGCAGTGGAGTTTTCTTTTAAATGTTCTTGTAGTAAAAAACTTTTCTTGTAGTAACCTATTTTCTTGAAGCAAAAATATTTCTCGTAATAAAAAATATTCTTGTAGTAAAAAATGTTCTTGTAGTTTTGAGACAGCAGTTTAAAAAGTTAGTTGCGTATCCTTTACAGGGCATTGCAGAACCAACCACAGCATTTTTTGGCTGTTGTGGTTTTTCTAGGCAAGGTTTACATACAGTAGTTTGCCACTGTTTACTGAACGGTCAGCTCTCGGTACTACTGTCAAAACCAATGCAAGACCAATCGTCCACAGCTGGAATCAAACTCAGTACCCTGGCATTACAAAGCTGTTTGCAATGCCTAAACCACAGACAGCAGAAGAAGAGCTGACTGGGGCCTCAGTACGTAATATTCCCAAAGGCAGCAGTAGTACACTGTAGCCAATTTTCATTTTGGAGACATTATAATTATTATACAAATAAAAGTAGCAACAATTGGACATCCTTATTTACGATCTTTCCACTTACCTCAGAGTCATATTTAATCTGTACTTCTAGCCTCCGGTGTAAACTTACTAACCATAAACCAAACACTTACCCTAATCCTTATCTCAAACATCATTAATGTGAAAGAATATTATCATTATGTGAACATAAGTAAATAAAAGATTATCTCCCTTGCAGTCACTGTAAAGAACCACTGATTGCGTCCCTGAGGGTCAAAGGGATTGCCAAAATTCTTGTTACCCTTTGCAGTGTAAATGTCGACCCATGCTTGACATAGGTAGAGCAGTAAACAGCCATTTTCGTCCTCTTGCCAATTTCTCTTTTGCTAAGAAACCCTCGGTTTATGGCCTGGAAGAGTCTCCCAGCAGCTGCTTTTCGTGTAGCCAGCTCAGTCTTAATGCCTCCATTTTGGTCTAATACAACTCCAAGGTATTTGAACTGGTTAACCTGCTCCAACGCATACTGACCCATCATGATCTGGTGTTTCTTCTCCTCTATTTGCGAGATATGCGAGTTACTAAGTGTTTGTTTAAAAAGAATATGGCCGCCAAGCACTATTTTACATTCATGCCAACATGATTTACGGCCTTAGAAACCTAAAATTTAAATAAAGTATGTGTTTTTTTTCCAGATTTATCCGAAGTTAGATAGATAACGTTGCGAATTAGATGTGTTTCAGTCATTTAAAGAGTCAAACTTTGATGCGGAATATGTTTAATGTGTACCTCACGCAAAGGGTACAACGACAGCAAAGTCAGCTGGCACAAATAGAATAAACATTAGTGAAAAGACTATTTTTTTCAGTGTCAGTTAATTCTAGTGCTATTTACCTTATTATTTAGGAACACAGCTGCAAAATTACAGGCAAATTGAGTGTTACATAAACTTCGTTTTGCGTGAAGATACTTATTGTTTTGGGAGTCAGTTTTCGGCTCTCCTTTGAATCATTCCCCAAAATGGTGGCTTTAATATGATGGCGTTTGAAAGAGAGCTAAATTGGCCAATTTCTGGCCATAAAATATCCAAAAATATCCTAATGCGGGTCAGTTCTATTAAAAATATATGTGCCGGCTCCGAATAACGAAACAAATGCTCTGACAGGGTCTCGGCAATACGTTACTTGCTGACCTGCTTCTGCGAGTGTGCCTCACCGCCGAGCGTATCCCCTGCGCTGCTACGCGCCAAACGCGATTAAACTCATCGCTGAGCATATCCCCCCGCGCCACTATGCGCGGCGCGGAGCTAAACTAGATGGCTGGGACTCACAAGCGGCAGCTACTGCATCTCCTGCAACTTCCTCCAATTACTGTACTCGTGAGTCCCAGGCACCTAGTTTAGCCCCCATCCTCGCCGCGAGTAGCGGCGTGGGGGATACGCTCGGCGATGAGTTTAATCGCGTTTGGCGCATGCCGACAAGTCTGACATCTACCACTGCTAAATCCTCCAATCGGAAGAACACAGTATTACTAATCGGCTTTCATCGTCTGTAATGTCTCGAAATTGGTCAACGGTCGCTAGTATCGTCTGCAGAAACGCTCTAAATTGTTGTCAACGGTCGGTATTTATCGTCTGCTACTAGTACTGTGTGCAAATGTTGATATTGATTGTTAAGTAATCCTAGTTTTGCCGCGATTTGTTCCTTGGCAGAAAGTCCGTATTTTAGATATACGCGAACACCGTCGTTCAGATATTTATGGATATTTTATGGCCAGAATGTGACATGCCGCCATTTTGGGGAATGATTCAAAGGAGCGCCCAGTTTTCTTTACCAAATAATAGTGCTCTGTTATGATGCTTCAAAAGATTCTCTGGAACAAACTCTAATGTATAGATCGAGTTTATATTTTACTTATGCACTACTAAGTGGTTCATATTCATTTGTGATTCATTTTGGATATATTTTAACCAGTTTTGCTTGAGTGCCATGGTGGTAAGTGTAAATATATATTTTTTTTCATTTTACTAATTTTTGTAAACATACCATCTGTTTATTTACTAATTTTTAATTACTAACGCAATTATTTGTTGTAGCTCTATGCTAAAATTATTCCTCAATAATCCCTGGTCACTTTGATGTATAGTATGTGTATGCTGAGCGGCAACTGAATTATGGTCTGTTTTAATGTCTTACACTTGTGAAATTAACAAATTGCCTTACCACCTCTTGGACCTCTGATGCTAAACCCCCTTGACCTATATACTGCAATTTAGAGTATACTCAGATAGCATATGATAAACTGTATCAGGGTTTCTCGAAGTGTGAACATTACTACTACTAGTACTACTGGAATTTTGTTCTCCGCTATCCTCCGAATAACGGTCCCAAATTATGGAGGCCGAAAATATACCCTAACAGGGCCTCAGTCACATGTAAATTGACTACCTCTTCCGGCGACTACACAGCATACCATGGAGAGTATCTCCCCCGCTGCCATGCGCAGCGCAGAGCAGGGCTAAACTAGATGGCTGGAACTCACAAGCAAACAAAATGGAGGAAGCTGCATGAGATTCGGTAGCTGCTGCTCGTGAGTCCAGCATCTAGTTTAGCCCCGCTCCGCGGCGTGGAGATACTCTCGGCAGTGACTTTAACTCGGTGGAAGCTTTTTCGCGGTATGCTGTGTAGTCGCCGGAAGAGGCCTGCAATTTACATGTTCCTGAGGCCCTGTTAGGGTATATTTTCGGCCTCCATTTAGGACCATTATTTGGAGGATAGCCTTGTTTTCTTAGAAAGCTCTACATTAGTGATCCTATCGTACCATTTAATCCCCTGTATTACGAGTGCATACATTATCTTAAAATTCCCGTTGTGAAACATTTTTTTAAATTAACTTACAGTGACAGATGACACTGAACGTTAGCCGTTGACTTGAACTAGCGGCCTTACTGACTTACTGAGCTTTGATTGAACTCGTTCCCGAATCAGTTCAGTTAGTTAGTGGTTACTTGATGTACATTAGTACAGTAATGAGTAATCACAACATTTAAAAGAAAATAAATGCCCAAACTAAATCAAAACACAAGAACTTAAAGCATGCATACTTTATTCTTACAGTGACCAAATGAAATATTTACACCGTAAACACCAGAGACAAATTTTCTATTGGTTAGAAAATGAGTTTCCAAAGTTAAACTCTTTCTTCAGCAGACTTCATAGTAGAGGTAAACAACGCAAACGTCCGGAAATCGCCGCAGACTTTCCTCCGGTTGTTTTGGGGATAGATGAGTAAATGGAGGACGCCGAAATCTGCAAAAATACGAACAAATCCATCACTCAAACCACCCTAGAAGCACAAGACACATTTTTTCTTGGTCCACGACCCTGGGCTAAATCCCGATATCACTGAGACGACCAAAGAAGACGTCTTGGTGATAAATAGATGGACATTGATTTGCTCTAATCGATTTTCTTAGAGCTCTGTTTAATTGTTTTATACTGTCTGGTAACAATGGTGAGAATATTCGTACATAATTTACAATCCGTCTCGGCTGAATGTTGTGTGTGTGAAGCAAAGTTTTTTTTTTTTTTTCTACTCAATACCAAATTAGGAAGAGTTTGGAGGCAACTGAGATTAGGTTCTTGAGAAGAATGTTGCGAATACACTGGACTGTCAGAATAACTAACAATGATTGCCTGGAAATAGCTAATGAAAGTAGAACATTATATACAATGAGAATCAGACAAAGTTTTTTGGTTATGTGACTGGGAAGATCAGTGGTAGAAGGGGCAGCGGCAGACTAAAAGAAATGATCGTCGGTGGCTTAAAACAGGGTCATGGAGGAATATCATCAGTGGAAGTGATCCAGAACACCAAAGACGAGATCTGTGGAGATGCATGAACGCCTACGCCAGCTGGCAAGGCACCTGATGATGATGACGCTGTTTCAGCACAATTTTTAAAGGCAAAATTTTTCTCTTAGCACTTCTGTACTTGACACTTTATGGTTGCGGTTGGTTTGGCTGGTCCAGTACTGGATAGAAGCAATGTTATCAATGTCATGCGCAGCACGTACCGTACCGAGGAGCACGCCAAAGGGCATGACTCCGTAATCCTCTCTAGGTTGATGAACATGGGGGGTGCAGCCTGGAGCTGCAAGAAATGAACATTTCACCAAAGGGATAAGACGTTTTATTAACCAACACAGAACAAGCGTCATCAGTCGTTTTACACTTTTGGAGCTTTTGAGGAGGAGATCGGAGCACCTATGGATCTGTCTCAAGTACTATGGTGATAATCCTTACTAATCACTAATCACACTTTATGGTAAGCACTGCAAGTTATTTTTTTTTAAATACACTTTGCGGTGAGCACTGTCGCTCTTTCTAAAACTAAAGCTTTGTGTGTGTAAATGTGTTCATTTAACTCCACCTTTCTGTTTGTTAACATTTTTGGG